TTTTTGGTTCAGTGACGAATCACATTTTTTGCTTGTCTGTACAGATGTCATGTTAACAAATGCGGTGTTGAATGTTAGGCATACTGGAAGTGGACAGGCTTTGGTTTGGTCAAGGCATAGTAACGGCACAACATTACATAGAGGAAATTCTTCAGCCACGTTTTTCCCATTATGCAACAAGCAAAAGTCATTTATCAACACAACAACAACAACAACACCCAACCTCACAACAGTTTTTGGGAGGAACCACAACATCCAAGTTGTGCCATGAACCTCAGGGTCTCCAGATCTAAACTCCAATCAAACATTTATGGGATGCTCTTGATCAACATTTGCAGTCACATCATTGAACAGCCGCAGAACCTCCAACAGTTGGTATAAGCACTGCAGGAGGAGCCACTGAGATTAGATGACCTTTATATTGACATTTGAGTATTTCATGTGTTCCTGGATAAACCTTGGACAATGACTTTTGCCAAATTTGAACACTTCTTCATAATCTGTTGATTATTTATATAATACATATAGTATGAATATGAAAACCACATTTTTTATTCTTCTTTTTTTGCAAAGAATAGAAAGCATCCACACTTCATTTCTGCCTTCTATATACATGAACAGATTACTCGCAGAAAAAAGAAAGAACTAACAATGTCTACATATGGAACCCGTTCGTTTTGTTTCACATGAGTGCTTGCTTGTGCATGCTCAGATAGCCACCTAGCACGAAGGACAGATTGCTCAGCTGGGTGACACACTCGGTTGCCTGTGTAATAGGCGTGGTTCTCAGTAGACTACCATCACCCAGTGACAGCTGAGTTAAGTTAAGACTGCCGGCTGGATTGGCCTCTCCCCTTCCAGAAACTCTGCTAATTCCGACGCATCCGCATAGATTTCCATGTCTTTATGTAGTGATTATTACACAAAACTAGGCAACATATCGAACCATAATGAAAATGAATAAAATGGAACTAAACTTCTGGTCTAGCTTAGGATTCCATTTCTATAGGTTCATGGTGAATATCTACCCCCTGCTTAAACTACAATTTAACCCAGCTTTCCTACACCTGTTTACAAACAAATATGGCTGACAGAAGAAAGGCTCTTTTCTCTGCAGCTCTTTAGCTGGTCCTCGAAGAGATGAAACAATTTAGAGATTTACTGACAGACGAAAATGAATTTAATATTATGCTGTTATTGCCAGTTATTTTCAGATTCAGGCGCCAATGCGTGCCTAAAGTGAAAGGATTCACCAAACTGTTGTCCCACAGTATAACGGGTGCGATTTTCGAATTAGTAAAAGTAACATTTTAAATCATAATGATTCAATTACAGGACACCTGAGGTATGTTGCCAGGGTAATGGGGGAAAAAAGGACTTTTAAACCATGCCATATTCGGCATTGCCCTAAATCCCTTAGACCACCACTAACAGCAAAGATATTATTCATAGCTTCATAAATAATGGCAATTGTCCAAGTTTTGCATATAAATCATAAAAGTAGTTGGAAATCATTTCATAATTCAAAACAGCTAAAAGCACAAATGATTTTAGTATTAACAGAAATTGACGCGTAAACTTCCGGATTTTAAAAACTCAATACTAAACCAATAGCGGACGTTTAATAGTGGCGCTCATATTAAAACATTGGTGCTGTGTGACTCATGATTGTCAGTTAAACTTTTCAAAGTTAGAGTGTATTAATGACCATATTTGCAACATGATTGAAAATAAATTTAAGTCAATTGATTAAAAATACGTTTGTAAAATTATTTCTTGCAAGTAATAGCGGTCTATCGACATAGACATGATACAGTGTCCGAATTTGACTCATATGGATCTGTAACACTCATTTGCGACCATCTGTTAATCAATTTAATTAACTAAAACCAAAACAACTGCTTGGTGATTACGAATTTGTTCATTTGTTTAAGTAAGTCGGTCAATAAGGACGAGTATCTTTGGAGAATGTGTGTAAACACTGCGCCAAATGACATGCTTCTGCCACTCTCACAATCTCCCTCCTCGATTTTGAGGGGGGGCCCCTCTTGGCACTCGAGTGTACGCACGCGAGAGAGACGCTCGGGACGATCAATTAGGAAATTCATCGCTCGTGCGAAAGACTTTGTGCAAAACGAACACATCCTCAGTGTTATGTATTCACTATCACTTTCTTCTGATACTGAAATGTTGCCCTGGGTGTCATTCTCATGGACCAAATTTAGTATGCATATTTGTAAGAATTGAGATTCAGTCAACTTACCACCCAGTGACATTTTAGATCATAGATTATATCTACAGGCAGGCAGTCTGTTATTTCCAGTATCCTCTGAATAATGGGAATTATCCCCACTAAACATTCTCGATAAATTCTTACAAATGTAGCAGGGTGTGGAGTCATCCCACAGATGACATCCTCACCTTGTCAGCTTGCTGACGGGGTTAACTTCTTTGGTCATGTGGACAAGGCGTCCGACTTCTGAATAGAAGGTTGTGGTTCGAATCCCAACACGGGACTTGGAAATTTTATTGCCGCTACATTGGCGCCCAATGTGGGGCTGAGCACGTTCATATCAAATTTGAGCAAAATAAGTCTCAGTACCCAACTATGCGACTCGGGACGTGCCTTCTGTTGACGGGGGAGTATGTAGCAGGGCATGGAGTCATCCCACAGATGACATCCTTACCTTGTCAGCTTGCTGACGGGGTTAACCTCTTTGGTCATGTGGACAAGGCGTCCGACTTTGGAATAGAAAGTTCATGGTTCGAATCCCAGCTCGGGACTCGGAAATTTTATGGCCACTACACAAAGACATATAAAAAAAGTGGAATGACCTGGAAATGTCTTATTTTGTGTTGGGAAATGTATGGTGGGGAAGTGTCTGGAGCCCATTTCACTATAACTGTTAACAGGCAATACGATATTTATAGCACACTTGTTCCATCTAAAGCATAATTTGAAAATCATTACTTTTGGAATCACTGACAAAGGGAAAAAATTAAATGATTACATCGGTAATACACAAACACAATCTCCTTTGAACATTTAACACATTGCAACAATCATATCCACTCACTATTGGTCTGTTTATTGCTGGTTCCAATCCCCAAATGTGACTCTTGTGGAATGACTGATACATATTGGTTGAGTAACCAATTTTTGCAAAATTAGAAGGACTGGAAGTGCTTATGACCTTCCTATTTAGGTAACTGCAGGTATGGGAAGATTCTGGTTGTGGTCCACAGGTCATTACACTTTTTCCAAACCATGTCATTAAAATGAAAGAACTTGTTTTTGGATAGAGTTTCAGAACTCACTTGCACTGCTTCTTACAGCAGCTTTTATAAGTTAGAACAAAACGAACAAGTTTTATGGATTGACAACTTTTTATTGCAACAGATGCAACGTTTAGTTCACAATGTAAGCATCTGCACCCTTTTGTTGCATCTTTTGTAATAAAGAAATTGTTAATCTTTAAAACTTGTTGATCTTTAACTTGCACTGATTTAGACAACACGAGGGATCAGATTGGAATGTATTTATCCCCTGCAATGCGTTTTGCGGGGGGTATTAAAATGGACTCTGTCTGTCCGTCCGTCCGTGTGTCCGTGCACATTTGTCTTTTCCGGAACATAACTTTAAAACCGTTCAATATTTCTTCACCAATCTTGGCACATAGATAGATCTGGTGGTCTACTGGTGCCATGTGGTAGTTTTGGATTTCTGAATAAAATATTTTTGTTGCGTTTCCATGGCAACAAGATTGACTTAGACTGAAATTAATGGTATTACTCTTTTCTGGAGCAGAACTCTAAAACTGTTCAATGTTTCTTCACAAACATGGCACATAGATAGATCTGGTGGTGGACTGTTGCTTTTTGGTAGTTTTGGATTTCTGAATAAAATTATTTTCTTTGCGTTTCCATGGCAACAAGTTTGACTTAGACTGAAATTGGTGGTAGTGCTCTATTCCAGAGCAGAACTTTAAAACCATGCAATATTTCTTCACCAAACTTAGCACATAGATAGATCTGGTGGTCTACTGGTGCCTTTTGGTAGTTTTGGATGTCTGAATAAAATATTCTTGGCGTTTCCATGGCAACAAGTTTCACTTTGACTGAAATTGGTGGTTGTGCTCTTTTCTGGAGCAGACTGACTGACTGAGTTTGGTTTTACGCCGCTTTTAGCAATATTCCAGCAATATCACGGCGGGGGACACCAGAAATGGGCTTAACACATTGTGCCCATGTGGGGAATCAAACCCGGGTCATCGGCGTGACGAGCCAACGCTTTAACCACTAGGCTACCCCACCGCCCCTTCTGGAGCAGAACTGCACACTGTTTCATCACCAAATTTCAGTGGTGAACTGGTGCCTTTTGCTAGTTTTGGATTTCTGAATAATTTTGTTTTGAGTGTGTTTCCATGGTAACAATTTTGGCTTCAACTGAATTTGGTGGTAGTGCTCCTTTCTGGAGCAGAACTTTGAAACCTTTGAGTACTCTCCTTCCACTTTGCTAATACATACCAAAACATTTGACATAATCATAACTTGTAGACATATTCATGAAGAATATTTTGCCATTGCAGGGGATATTGATGACTTTTTCTTCTTGTTTGGGGGTATTGATGTGGATGATGCGGTAAAGTCAAGCTAATTCATGATATTTTCTGATAAAAATGCTTCAGGGCATTCATGGAAAGGTTTTGAGATGAACCATAGTTTTGAGTGGTACTATCATATATAATATACATCTTCTTTATATTGCTATTTTGTAAACATCTTTAAAAAAGTTTGTTGTATGTCACTCTTGATCTCCCTCACTTCTCTTTCTAAAGCAAACATTTAAATGCACAACATAGCCGATGCTCTGCTTATCTACAAGATTCCATCAATTATTTGGGATGTTGTTGACATTGTACAAGATTCCCATATTTACAGATGTTTTTGAACCTGTTTCATATGAAAATTTGCATCATTGCAATGTGTTTATGTTTCAGTGTTCTCTGCCATGTGTTTTTCATCATACTGATGTGTCATCCTGCTTTAACATATGCGTAAGTACCAAATTCTTTCTTGAGAAATTTAAAGCCTCCCAAATATTGACAAAGAAGTTGATCTTGCACACCATTTGATTTTAAAATGTGTTCATTGTATACTCAAAAGTAAAAGTTAGTGTGAGCAACACATTTGTTTATATAAATGAGAAAAATTTTATAATGCATTTTAATATTCTATATTATACACTTAATCCATAACCCCAACAGGTTCCTGTTGGTAGTATTTGTTTTGCATGTATTTTTTGTACTTTCAAGAGGTCTGTGGGAAAAAAAGCATAAAACGTGCCCTTTGAAAAGTGTGGCTCTCAACCTTGAATCATCATCACCCGAATCATTGTTTAGACGTCGACAGGTCTGAAAAACACAGAGATTTGGAGGAATCTGCTTGCATTTCTCTATGCCACGGCTAACTGAAAATGAAAGGTGGTGGGTCACTGGAATGCTTGGTACTGGAACACCCAAGCGCAACGTTGCACAGTAGTTTGACACGCACAAGTACGCCATATGCTGCTCGTGGAGACGTTATCAACAGAACGTCATCATTACATACAGACTGTTCCCGAAGTTGCCATCCACCTGTAACCACGCCACATAACGATCGTTGTATTTGAACAACTCATCTGCACCAAAGATTCCAACCAGTCAACAGGATATCGTCAAAGACCATTCGCTGACATCTGGCTGCAAAAGGGATACGTGCTAAACGTCATGCCAGATAACAAATTTTGACATAATGTCGCCAATGTCTACGACTGCAGTGGTGCAAACAACATCATTCTGAACGAGAGTGGGGACATGTTCTCTTCACTGACAAGTCCAGATTCCTCTTGCACCGTGCTGATGGCTGAACCCAGATCTGACCCCGATCAGGCACATATGGGACAAAATGGAGAGGAGATTGAGACGGTGGCCAAATTCCCCAGTCACGCTTCAGGAACTCTGCCAGGTGCTTCCATTGATATGGAATGCCATTCCACAAGACTTCTTGTGATGTTTGATTGGCTCTGGGAGGCTCAGGTTTCAAGCAAATATCAATGCTCATGGTGGACTTGCACGTTATTGACTCTGTGAATTTCATTTTCACCATTCTCTCACTGTGACCTCATTAGCATGTGTCCACCAGAAAATTTTAAAATGTGCCCTTTGCAATCCTATTGTGGATGATTTTCTTGCAATATTAAAAAAGGTCTCATCATAAACGTATGAGTTGTTAATTCACATATCTAACTTGAAGTCAATCACAATAACTTTTGCCTTTGAGTATATTATGGACTTATTTTTCAATCATCTTTATCAATTCCAAATTACATTCAATAGTATTAACATTATACTTTTTAGACACACCTGAGCATCTATTGTTTTAGACAGTCACAGGTAGCTCATGCAACACATCTTTCAGGCTCCAGTTGATCGTGTGACTTCCAGCTTTCACCTTTCTCTTTCTTGTTGCCTGTGAGTAAAAACTTTGAGACATTATTTTCTTCAGAGGTCAAGGATACATCTTGTTTCCTTATCAGACGAACTATGGGCAAGACGTGGAAAGCCTAAAGAGGAAAGTGTGTGGTAGATGTAGAAACCTGACGCTTTGTGTGCAGATTGTATTTACATTTGTTCCTGGGGTCAGCACTGTTCTGCAATAACCTTAATGATGAAGACTTTAGGTCTACAAGAAAGCTGGTTGTATGAGGCACACCATTCTTCCAGATTCCCACCCATGCTGATGACAGTTTTCTTGAGGCCTTCTCTGATGTGGATCCTAGTGAGAATTTGTGATGTCAATTCAGGCCTCAGGTTTAGACTTCCAAACCTCCAACACCAGTCCCTTCCATTCCTGCCTGAGTAGTGGTTATGCAAACGCCACTGATGATCCCTTCTGGATCACCAATTCCTCACTGTGCCTCTTCAAACCTTTAACATTCTTTGTTTACAGGCTCCACCGTCAGATACTACAGTCCCCCTACAATCCCTCCACATTCCATGATCACTCCTCTGTTGACAAACCCTTCACCATAAGCTACCTCTATACATCTGGAAATTCCTAACCTTTCTTCACTGATCTCGTCTGATCACCCAGTTGAGTAGGGATCATTGGTCACAAGATCCTGTGGCCTCACAACAGTCTTTGACTTTTAAGCTATTGTGCAGGCAATGTCTTTATATACTCAACTGTCCACCCCTCAGTCCTGTATTTGTACTTTGCCCGCACCTCCTTCACAACGTATATCCATTTGAGGTTTGTTGCCAGGTGAAGACATCTTTACTTCAAAGGCCATCTTTCGATTATTGATTAATGTTGTCTTCTGATAAAGTTTCTCACCTTTTTGTATATTGCTTGGCCATCAGACACAAAGATCTGCTCAATCATTCTAGCTTTGATCATTACAAAGTAGAGCTTTTTTATCAGCCATGGTCCTGCAAGTTAATATTTGATGAGACTATTTGCATGGTATCTTGTAAGGTTGAGAATGGCACACAGTTTCAGGTTTCTGTAGATCTCCCGAAACTCCAGAAAATGCATATGTAAGACAGTTAGTCTCTTTGCCATTGTAGTCATGCTCGTTATGTTCCTCGATCATTTCATGGTTCAAGGGCCTAGAGAAAACATTCCAACAACTTGTCAACCTCCTCCAAGAGTGTCTGATTTGAGAAGCCTTAGCGGAGAGAGCCTGCTAAACCAGTGTACCGGTACTCTTGAACTTTATGTTTGACTGGGATCTCCAGTCATCCCTACACCCATCAGCGGAAGAATTTGGACCTTTGCCCTGTATTGGGTAACCAATACATCATCAGTTTTCTGGTAGAATGCTATAGGTGAGGTGAAATTGGGTTTATCGTCGTGCTTGAGAATATTTCGCTGTTATGACGACGTGCATGCGTGTGTATGTGTATGTGCGGCTGCTTGTACTAGCCCAGACTGAAGCTGGTTTTATAGTGCTAGCCCACTGAGATACCATGCCGCAGTGAAGCATGAATACCCCACTCAGACACATTATACTGACTCCGAGCCGACCAGTCCTTGTTGTACCCATTAATGCCGAGCGCCAGGCAGGGACCAACAAGTACCATATTTTAACGTCTTTTGGTATGATGCGGTCGGGGATCGAACCCGCGGCCTTCCGCTCTCCGGGCGGATGCTCTAACCACTACACCACGGAGGCGGCTGGTAGAATGCTATAGAGCTGTGATGATATATATCACTATCAATAATAGTGATACTTTATCTCACAATGAATATATCAATATTTTTTTTTTGTATCGTGATATGTATTGTTGGCCTTACAATTGTTAATTTTCACTAGAAATTGACAGTTATGTCAAAATTGACACTATTACTTGCTTCAAAATATACGTTTTTAAAGAAAATAACTAAACATAGCATATCATAATATACATTGAATCGAATCGTATCGTTCCAAGATATCGCGATCTATATCGTATTTCTGTATCATGACACACTTCATCATCAGTATTTGGTGGCCCAGCTGACAACCTTTGTTATGTTATTGTAGAAATTAGCAATAGTGATGTTTGGTTGCTTGCCCAACATCCCCGATTATGCTCCAACCTTTCTTGTCCATGTGCTGATCTTACCAGACCATTCGATTCATCTTTCTGGGAATACACTTCCATTGGAAGGTCCTCCCATTTGGCATTTCTAAGGCCATATGGCTGTTTACCTGTATCATGATGCCTATCACCCAGTTCTTCCATTGGAGAGGGATTGAGTTCAAAGTATACATCAACGACGATCATTCTCTTTACATCAATGACCTAGAGTTCAAGGCGGCAAATTCTAGCTGTCTCCCATTGGTCCAGCATTCTGTGATAGTCCAGTCTTATGATACATAGATACTAACGACCTTCCATGTACAGTCATCCCTCGCCATAACGCCGGTCTTGGGGTCCATGGATGACCCCCCGCGTTATTAGACACGCGCGTTATAGTAACGATTACATAACGTGGATCAAAGGCCAAGTAAAATCGTATTTTCCATGGACATAACAAAACTGCTATTTCTTGTATTGTGCCCATCAAAACTATATCGTATTGTTGGAGGTGAAAAACAACAACTTTGTAAATGAAAATAGATGTATGTACATGAAACTTGCAATCAAACATCATAAGACATGATAATTAAATGGTTGTTCCTGTCATGCTACCTGTTATTCAACTAAGCCGGAAATGGCAATCAACAGAGCGATGCTTTGGTGCAATGTACCGGTGATTCAGTTAAAAACGATTCTAAAATATAACATCATGTAATTTTCTGATTAAAATTGATATTTTATACTTAGCCTGACTCATGCTTAATTGCTTGTCTCCTTCCTCTTGCGAACTATAGGGGAACACTTGAATCCCCTTTTGAAGCTCCCTTAAAAAAAGCGGATGTAAAATCACTCACCCCACGAGTAGCCTCCCTTTGCCTTTTGGCGCCAAAACCTGTCACATGATCAGACATGCACTTCACTCTCTCCGAATATGAGCCCGACACCCGGATCTACAGGGAAATCCAGAGTGCCATGAGGGGAGGTTGGGAGGGCTGACCTCATGAGTCAGGATAAGTATAAAAAATCATATTTTTCCTTATCCTGACTCATGCTTAATTGCTTGTAGAATCCGATGGAACCGGTGGTGGGTCAAGCCACTCTGGATTCATAGCTGCTGATTTACGTCCTGCATACCCCCCTAGGGAACATCTAATGCCACTGTGTCCTTTCTTCCAGCTTCCTCTGATGAGACGGGGGGGGGGACCACAACTTGTCAGATTTCTCTGGAATCGTCTTCTCCTGTAAGTAAGTCCTTACAAGTACAGGGGCTGTCACTCATGCTAGCCTGTCCTAGACGTGCGCATGGACTCTAAAGTTCTAACTCTTTTGAGTGTTGGCTTTTACAAGTAGCGTGATAAATAGGGTGAGATTCATCTCAGCGCCATTGAGGAACCGTCAATTGTTGTGCTACAACAAGAGGCCCAAAGTGGTGAATGCCGGAGACGTCC